ATAAGTCTCAGGCATACTAGTTTCTCAACTGCATATAGATGACATCATACCCACCACCAATGTCATCACCATCCACCACAAACTAATAAGTACCCTCCTCTAGCTCCACTCCTTCCTGTAATCATCACTCTTATGTCAGCGATTATTTGGTTAGTTCATGTATTGTGTTTTGTATAACTCATAAATGAACATAATAAAGTTTGTCTTTTTTCCTTCTGACCTATTTCCCTTAGTATAGGCCTGTCTCTGCCAGTTCCATCTATGCTATTACAAATGGCAAGCTTTTGTCTTTTTTTATGGCTGAGTAGTCCATTGTATTTATATACATCTTCAATCATTCATCTTCAGGTGGTTGATATTTACATACCTTGACAACTGTAAATAGTGCCACAATAAACATAGCATTGCATATCTTTTCAAAAAGCGTTTTCATATTCATTGAGGAAATGCCAAGTTTACTAGACTTGATGGTAGATTTATTTTTATATTTTGAGAAACTTCTATTCTGTCAATAGTGTGTACACCAATTCACATTCTTACCAACAGTGCACAGGTCCTCTTTCTCTACTCCTTGCCAATATTTATTTTTTTTTAATAATAGTAATTCAAACTGGTGTGAGGTGAGATCACATTGTGAGATCTTTGAATATTGAGATGTAAAACAGTCTTTCATTTGTCTGTTAGCCATCTGTATATATTCTTGGTTAAATGCTTTTTAAAAGTCTTAAGACCATTTTTATGACTTTGCTATTGTTATTGGATTACATAGGTAGTTTTTATATTTTGGATATTAACTCTTTGTCTTTTATACCTACTTTCATTCAGTAGGTTGCCTTTTTGTTTAAATAGTGGCTTCTATCACTATGGTATTTTAGTTTCATTCATCACATTTTCTTTTAGTTTCTTGTTATTGGAGATAAACATACAAAGACATCACTAAGACATATATCAAAGAGCTTATGACCTGTTTGTTTCCTTCTACGTATTTTATGATTCAGGTATCACATCCAAGTCTTTCATTCATTTGGATTAAATTTAGTATAATAAAAAATAAAGCTATATGACTTTAATTGCATGATTTCTCCAAATGACATCCCCTTTTTCATTTTACACTCTTGTTTAACTTGTCTTAAATTAGTTGTTCATATATGTGTGTTTTTACTTCTGAGCTGTTGATTCATCCCATTAATTCGTGTACCTGTTTCTATGTCAGTGCCACTCTATTTTGATGACTGTAGCTTTGTGGTCTAGTTTGATATCAAGGAACATCATCTCTTCAGTTTCTGTCACTTTGTCCTACTCACTATTTTGGTTATGATGCTTATTCTTGCTCCATGCAAATTTTTATATTTTTTGTTCTATTTTTAAAAATTGGGGGACCACACCTAACAATAATCTGAGGTTACTCCTGGCTCTTCACTCAGAAATCACTTCTGATGGTGCTCGGGGATTCATATGAGATGTCCAGGATTCAATCCAGGTCAGGCTCATGCAAGGCAAGTGGTCTACCCTCTGTTCTGTATCTCTGGCCCCTCTTTGTTCTATTTTCACAAAGAATGTGACACGGATCTTAATTAGGATTGCATTAAATTTGTGTTTTGCTTTAGGTAGAATGAACATTTTACAGTATGAATTTTTTACATCCATGGCCATAAAGCACCAACTTCACTTTTTACTCTTCCCTTTACTATTGTTGCAATGACTGAGCATCACATCCAGAACATCAGCTGTATCCACACAGGTAAGCTACAGTGCTTGAGCACTTGCTTGCTGTGGATCAAACTTTCTTTTTTTTGAAAGAGAGGGTTGGGTCACACTTGTCTCTGTGCTTAGGGATCATTCTTGGTGGTACACAGAGAATACTAAGGATAGAATTAGGGTCAGCTGTAAGTCAGCACTTTACCTACTGCATTATCTCTCTGGTGCTTTATTTTTTGTTTTTATAAATTACTTTGAGAGATCTATGTACCCCTGAGGTAAATACCCAGGTTGTGATATATTACCTCTTCCATGTATTGTTGAATCCAGTTTGTTAATATTTTGCTCATAATTTTGCATTTATATTTATCAGAGATGGTGACTTATAATTTTCTCTTATTGGGCTGTGTTTGGTTTCGGTGTCAGTGCTCTGTTGGCCTCATAAAACTGGTTATAAGCATTCCTTCCTTTCTAGTATTTTGAAAATATATGAGAAAGATGAGCATTTTTTATATAAGGCTTTTTACTGCAGAAATTTTGGATTTTAGACTAGAAAAAATAAATATATATGAAAAACTCATAATAAAATTTTCACTGTGACTACCTCAAGCCCTGAAAAAAAATCACTAGTTTTTTCCTTTTATTACTCATCTATTAAACTAAACTTCCAATGACAAACACCTATACTCTTGTAACAAATTGTTTTATGTTTCTTTCCCACAAAAAATAGAGCTTTGAAGAGATGGTAATGGTGATTGGAACTTCGGGATTCTTAGAGTTACCCACAAGTCAAATTTCACTTAAGCTGATTCAACAGGACAGATTAAATGTGAAAAGTAAAATGGTAGGCACCTTTAGCCAGAAACCCTTGTTTCTTTTCTGGTTATTTCTGCCTGAGAGATAAGTGTTGAAGGACAATTTATACAACTCCACACCTATTCCAGATCATTTTCTACCAAATTCAGTGTTTCTACCTGTGAGTAGTGTTTCTACCTGTGAGTAAGATGCACTATGCGTTCAGTGGCCGAGAGCCTTCTTTTCAGCCTCCCTGGCCTCCCTGACAGAGGAATAAAGAGATGTGGACCACTGATGGCCAATGGACAGTGGACAGTGGATGTTTAATCAGAACTGAATAGCACACTTATAGAACATCTGAGGGGATTTGATGTATAGGACTGCATGGAGGTGTGATTGATCATTTACAGAGGTAAAGCATTTTGATGGAGACAATTTTTTCCAGAAGATTAACTCAGGAGACTCTCTGGTGAGACTAAACTAAGAAATTTTCTTAGGGGTGAAAAGTATCTATACTGCTTTTCTTACTGCTAGTACATATTAAACAATTAAATTTGCTCCTTACTAACATTTGTCATTATTTTGGATAAACACAGCAAGAGATATAGATTCCAAAACTTAGTTCTCTGGGCTGGCAGGTGAAGAGGTGGGGTGGAGGATGGCAGAACTGGCTTTTACCGTAAATCCCAAACTAAGTCCTCAGGCTGGCTTAGCTTTTATTATCCCATGGAGTCCTGTCTCTTGGTCATCAGAGCTTGTATCAAGATGGTGCATTAGGTTTCTACAATGTCCCATCGATGCTGGGATTAGCTTTGCTGCTTGCCCTGGGTCCATCAAAAGGTCCCTTGGTGGGACCCAACTTTTGGGGGTGTTAGGAACTATGGCGACCAAAGCCTGAGTTAAGTAATTATGCTGCATGTACAGGAGTACATATATTACAGAGATTGCAGAGTCAATTAACTCCCAAATATTAGGAGCAAAGTATTAACGGTCTTTCTGTGTTTAAGCAGAGAACACTGCTCTATAATAAAATATGAAAAGGTTATAGGGAAGGAGAAAAGCAAAGTAATTCACTACAGATACAAAATCCCAAGTCACCAAAAGGTTTGACTTTATAAGTAACCAAGCCTAACTTGGGAAATTTAGCAGCTAACAATGAGAGATAAAGCACAACGGAAAGGTTAAAGATAAACGCAGGGAATTCGGAGTGCTCATAAGAGCACTGTAAGTTTCTCTGGGGGGAGGAAAAGGGGCAATCCATTGATAAGGCACTGACACATATTATATCCAACATCTAAAAATACAATTTGCTTTTTAATGAAATCTGATACCTAAACAAAATCTTAACAGAATATGGGATCCAGCAAGCAGTTGAAGGGAAATTGACTTGAGCTTCTCTGAGCATTCCCAAAGCAAATAAATAAATAAATAAATAAATAAATAAATAAAATATTTCTTCCCTTACTGCACTCCTGATTACACAGTAGTAAACAGCAGCAAGGAAGGAAGGCTGAGCGTGTGGCTGTGGGCCGTGAAGTAGCCAGGCTGGCAGGTGGGGGACTGAAATGGCTGCATGCCACACTGGATGCTGCAACAGTCACACATTTACAATCCATTTGGCAGTATTTCCAACCCAGGCTGAGGGATTTAGCTTTTCCCATAGTAAGCACTGACAAGGATTTCAAATGGACCCAACATTTTATGCTAGTGTCAACAGCACGAATGCAGCTTCAGCTGGCTGAAGAGTGGGAAACCAAGAGTTTCTGCATTATTTACTCCAGAGAAACTAGCTGAACACCATCTGTTCTTCTACACATACACATGCACGCACACACACACAGATACACACACACACACTGCTGTCCTTTCTATACTTCATTCTTGCACTGTTCTGTGAGCCCCCAGTCTTGGCCCCAAGAATCTCAAATCCCAATATTTATCTGAATACAGAGACTTGTAAAGTTAATTTCAACAGAGAAACTGGTAACACAGAAGATTCTGGTGCTCCAAAGTCTTATTAGTTGTGCAGCTGCAAAAAAATCATTCATTCTTCTAGGCTTTATTTGAACTGAATGCAATGTTTTCTTTGTAAAACATGGAGGGCTTGGAGGATCGAGTGTGCATCATGGAAAACCAATATTCCTGCACTCTATGATATATAAACTGGTTTAAGGTAATAAAAGTTGAATAGAAAAACCTATTGAATAGCAATACAAAATAAGTTGGATAGAACAACAAATTTCCAAAACAACTAAAACTATATGTGAGAGCCACATTTTTGTCTAAATGATTTTAACAATGATGACCTTTCAGAAAAGTAACTGCTACTCTGAATATTCAGAGGAACAGTATTACTAAGTCAGTCAAAATCAAAGTCCGATCCAACAGAGAAAACACGTATATAGACTAGTAACAGGAATGTAAAAATGGGATATACCTTAAAGAGAAAAAAAAACAGAGCATTTAATTTAAAACATAAAACCACTTAAGCAGAAGTATTTCAAAATTTATTTTAAAATAGTTAAGAGTATAAAAGATTTATTTTTCCTTTAATTAATATTTTTATTCTGGGTTCAGTATGCAAGAATTTAAAATTTTTTTAAATGCCAAAGCTTCCCTCAGTCTGACCTGAGAATTAGATAAGAATGAACTTCTTCAACAGAAAAGCAGGCAGCACCCACAGCTCTAACATGAAATCAGCAAATGATTCTCTCATTTTTTGTCTTATTAATGTTGCTGTAATTATGCTTTCCATAAAAGGTGAAACCAATTAGAGAAATAATGTAAGATTTCACTGGCAGTTGAGATTAAGTATGAATTCAGTAATCAGCTTCTGCAAATATGCATAAAAAATGATAGGGAGAAACTGGCCATCTCTGCCACTCAGTGGAGTGGGTTGGCAGATAAAGTCGAGGTAAAAACAGTGAGGCTGAATAAAGACATTAAAACAGGGGGTTCAGAGGTTGATGAAGGTGTTTGTAAGATCAGTTGACAAAAACCAGATGCAAGTAAATATTTCTCATGGACCCTGGAAGAATAGGAAAACAAATATTAGCACATGCAGGAAAACAAAATTCAAATCTTTGTCACCCAAAATAAAGCACCTTCAAAGAACTTTTATACTACACTGAGCTTAAATGATTCTTTTAAATGATTTATAGTCCCAGTGAAATGATTTAATTTTCAAGTCCCATCACACTTGATTCACAAAATGGTCCCTGTCAGGAACCTAATGGCTTGTTGAGTGATGGCTCATCTGCTGTGTTCTTACAGAGAGGCTAGCATGGGTCACAGATAATAGTGGTCACAAATACTTCCATGAACCGCCCTCTTTACAGCAAGGACAGGAGGAACACAATGTGGAGTGGGCAATTTAAATGGAAATGTATGGAAAAGCGTGACTTTGTATTTTGCAGCAGGAAGGTGAAGGGAAGTAGACTAAATGAATCCCCTTTCTTTCAACCCAGTGCAAAGGGTCAAGAAATCTCTAACCAGGCTCCCGGAATTCTGTGCCAAGTTTTATCTGGATGATCACTGTTCTAATGCTCTGGGAAACTAAAATCTTAGGTTGTCTCCTAGGTCATAGCAAATGCTCAGCCTCTCTTGAAGACAGAGAATTGAGTTTCCCCAGCAACCCAGAGAATTTCACCCACTGGCATTAGAGAAAAGATAGCAGTGATTATTTATATGGCCCATCCTAGCTGAGTCCTGGAAACTATAGAGAACTCTGAAAAAACAAAACATACTTAAAAATGTTAAAGCTATTGGAATCAAAGATATAGTGACTGGAGAGCTGGTTAATCTCACTGCAAAGTGCCTTCCTTCCATGCAGTTCACCCTGGTTCATATGCCTGGCACTGCAAATAGTCTTCCCAAGCGTCACAAGTGATCCCTCGTACATAGCCAGGAGTAAGCTCTGGGCACCACCGGGGGTACCCTGCCAAATAGAATAGCCAGGAGTAAACCCTAGGCACTACTGGGTGCACCCCCCACCAAACCAGCAGTACTTTGAAGACGCTCTGATCTGTGTGCAGGAGTTCCTTCTGACAATGCTCAGGGACCATGTGGTGTCAGATCAGTCAGATCATGTGGTGATCTATCCTGGACCTCCGGCATGCAAAGTATGCACTAACACATTGAACTCTCTCTCCAATTTCAATTTGATAAGAGTATAAAATGCCTCTTTAAAAACATGTTATAAACTGTTCAAATTTTGTGGTTTTTTTTTTAAAGATCTATGTTTCTTTACGACCAGGCCATAATGATGCCTTTCTATACTGTCTGACTGTGGTTTAAAGTTAAATTTACAAAATAGTTGAAGAATATACCTTGATGTAATTTATCTGTACAAGTTTCTAGATATTTGGAATAATATAGTCCTTCAACATTTAGGAGATTCCTTATATTATGTCCAAGTCTGACTTTTATAGGAAAACAGTAACAAAAAATTCTACATAGTATTTGCATGATTTTCCTTTCCCATAAACAAAACATAAAAGAAACGTATACCCTTATCAATAGAGTATATAGTCAATATTTTTTCAATATAAAATAGATGAGAAATGACACATTGATTTTGTTCTTTTATTAAGATGAATTTACTGAGTGTTTAGATTTCAAATTTCCTAAAATGTTTGTTTTGTTCTTTGTCAAATATTGTCTTTGACTTTTGCGAAATTTTGCTGTTTTAAATTCAATAATTTCTTCATCAAATGTTCTGTTTAGAATCATTCCTAAATTCAGAATCACAGTTTTAATATATCAAATCAATTGGTTCTAAATCTTTGAGATGGTGTAAAGTAAAATGAAACCAATCTCAATTTTATATATATATATATATATATATATTTATTTATAAGCACACAAGGCTCAACTTGTAACAACATGTTATTAATCTCTTATACAATGGCTCCAGGGTGAGATACCACAATCCTCACACACTTTCCTCTAGGGAAATTTTTTGGATCATTTTTAGTGGATTGTTTATAACAAGCAATACAAAATAAATTATTTAGGTTTTGCTTTGAGGGCAGGCTTTGGAGGGCGGTGGAAAATTTCAAAATGATGATGGTGGGCAGGTGTAATGAAGGTGGGATTGGGGTTGGAATACTGAATGTAATAAATTGTTACGAAAAACTTTCTAAAAATTAAATCTAAAAATAATTTTTAAAAAAAACCTTGAGGGTTTTGTGTCTCTCATTCATAGCCGCCCTCTCTCCTAGGCAAGAAGTAAGGTCTAGTCACAGTTCTATGCTTGGGATATCTCACTAAATAGGACAAGCATAGAACTCTGCTTTGAAGAAATAAAAAACATACGTGACCACAATGAGAAACTGAGTAAGCAGTCACATAAATAAATGATGTTGGCAATTATGTTGTAGTTGCAGAAAGCTACAGAAAAATGATGTGAAGCCCCAAATAGGAGATGGCATGAACTGGGAGGAAGAGTCACAGGGATCTAGGACAGCCAAAGAACCCTCTCTGAAGTGGAATTCAAAAAAATACCTGGAGAAAAAAAATCATACAGGCATTTTTGAGAAGTGTGAAGGGAGACCAGCCAGTGTGAAGACTACAAGGTGAGAACAGTAGTTTCGCAAGTTTTCAAAGAACAGTATGAGAAGTGTGGCAAGGAGGATACACAGAAGGAGAATAGAAGAGGTAGGGCCCGAGGGAGAAGTGAGATTTAAATAACATAGCACCTTTAATCTACTGTAAGGGCTTTAGTTTTCACTAATCTGGAGATATATGGGAGGCATTGGAAAGTTTTGAGCAGAGGTGGGGCAGGATTTGACTTCTATGTCAAAAGGTCACTCATATGGAGAATAGATTCTGGATGGTAAGTGTGGAAGCAGGAAATCAACTATTTTCAACAATCTAGATGTGCACTGAGAGAGTAGAAGCAGGGTAATGGAGGTGAAGGTATTGATAACCTTTCAAAAACGGACATCTTTGAATCAAGGTTTCCTGGTGAATCAAGATGTGGGAATGTGGGAGAAGAATGTGTGGGCAAAGAGGAAGATGTGTACTGACAATAATGGGTCAAGGGGGTCAAAGGTAAAATGTAGACATACTGAGGTGTAAATGTCTTCAGGGTACAAAAAGATTACAGGAAAGCAGATAGGTATACAAGTCTAGAGTTTGGAGAAATATATCCAAGTTAGAACTAGGAATTCGGGGTGGGGGAAACTAGATGTCAGTTAATTTCTTGAGGGAAAATGCAATTGCTAGTGTATTAAGTGAACACAATGTTTAAAATGTGGTCCAAAATGGGTCTTAGAGTCAAAATGTTGAGAAGACAAGGAATGGCGAGATAGTACAGTGGCTAAGACACTTGACTGACAAGTGGCTGTCTTGGGCTCAATCCCTGACACCACCTGCTGTCTCCCAAGCCCTGCCAGAGGTGATCCCTGAGCACCCAGCCATGAGTAAGCTGTAAGCAAAGCCAGGTATGGTTCAATAACAAACAGACAAAAGCCAAGAAGCCAAAGTAGCAAAAGAATGAAAAGATGAGGCAACCATAATAGCTGCAAACCTGACAAGAGTATATTCATTTCCAGATGCCAATAGTTTCAGAGAGGGACACAACGACAAATGATGGTAATTGCCAAAAAGATAAAGACTGAGAAATAACTTCCATTTGGTAATGTGCACGCTGTTAGTGATTACCATAAAAATATTTTTTGTTGTATGGTAAAATATAAAACCTGAATGGAGTAAAGTTAAGACAAATGAGAAGAAAAGGCTTAGAGAGAGCATGGATAGCACTTCTTGAAGCTTTAATTCTCTCATCAAGAGATAAGACAGTAGCAAGAGGAGAAAGGCCATGGCCATATTTTATATTTATTTTATAAATGATGAAAAATTTTAATCTGAGGTGGAACATGAACAATTCAGGAGAGAGGAAGGAATATTGTTAGAACAAAGACGCTTCAGTGTAGGAGAGATACTGGACCACAGAAGGAAGGGGGGGCAGAGTTAGAGATGTTGGTAACTCAGAATTGGAAGTGAGAGCCTGTGGAAGTTCTCACCATTCTTCCACTCTTTTTTTATTAGTGAGACACCATGAGGTACAGTTGTGGACTTACAAATTTTGTGCTTGGGTTTCAATTATACGATGATCAAATACCTATCCCTTCACCAGTGCCCATTTCTCACCATCACGAGTCCCAGTATCGCTCCCACCCCCCATTCCCCCCAATCCCACCCTGCCTCTGTGGCAGGTCATTCCCTTTTGTTCTCTCTCTCCTTTTGGGTGTTGTGGTTTGCAAAAGAGGCATTGAGTGACAATCATGTTTGGTCTATAGTCTACTTTCAGCATGCTTCTCCCGTCCTGGGAGGATCCTCCCAACACCCTTTATTTGGTGCTCCCTTCTCTATCTGAGCTCCCTTTTCCCCTAGCATGTGTGACTAGCCTCGAAGCCATGGAAAAAAATTCCTGGTACTAATCTCTGCCATTCTTGGGTGTTAGTCTCCTATTTTGTTACTTTATGTTCCCCAGATGAATGCAATCTTTCTATGTCTATCTCTCTCTTTCTGGCTCACTTCGCTTAACATGATACTTTCCATGTAGTACCACTTGTATGTAAATTTCATGACTTCATCTTTTCTAACAGCTACATAGTACTCCATTGTGTAAATGTACCAAAGTTTCTTTAACCAGTCATCTGTTCTCGGGCACTCGGGTTTTTTCCAGATTCTGGTTATTGTAAAGATCTCCTAATCTTTTTTTGATGGAAATATATAGTAACTACTTTGGCCATGGATGAGCCTATTTCCCAGAAAAGCTCCAGACATCCTCCTTTCATCACATCATGATAAAACAATGTACCTCTTTGTTATCTGTGAGAAATCTAAGCAGAGATGTATGGCTCACTCACATAAGGTCTATAAGCAGTCATGATATTCATTTAATTTCTCCCATCTCTTCCCCTCAATACAATATTTTCCAAGTAACTTCTAAATTGAGGGGCTGGAGTGAAGAGAAAATGTACAGTGAGCTTCTAAATTCAAATACTGCCCCCAAGTATGAGTTTTAATCATATTTTATTTTACTTTTGGGTCACACCTGGTGATGCACAAGGGTTACTCCTGGATCATGCACTCAAGAATTACTCCTGGTGGTGCTTAGTGGGCCATATAAAATGCTGGAAATTGAACAAGGTCAGCTGCGTACAAGGCAAACACCCTACTCGCTATGCTATTGCTCCAGCCCTCAGTCATATTTTAAAACCTGTAAATTCTATGAGCTCAGATAACTTCTAAAATTCACAATGTCTCATTTTCCACTCAACTCCTATTCACATATTTTTATGATTATCAATAAGTTGTAAATCACAACACCTCAGGCAAAGTAATGTTTTGAATGTTTTATCCTCTCTCCCACTGTCTGATTCTGAATCACAATGCAAGAGACATAAGCACATATTATGAATGTGTCTAGTATGCATTCTCTGAAAATCTGGCCACATTCACCAATCCTAAATAATATACACCCACATTTGTAAAAATCTACCCACCAATTTACCCTATTAGTTTTCTTTCAAGGAAATATGAGTATAAAACTTCTAACAGCAAGTCTTCTGGGAGATGGGCTCTTACTCATCAAGTATCTATTAAAGAGAATTTTGTCTAGAATTTGATCATTCTATTATATTGTGTCTGTAAAATACTATCTGCTCCACTTTTAAGATAAGACATATATATGTTCTTAGTCTTCAGTTATAAACTCTGTAGCACTGCACTGTCCTGTAGCACTGTCCTCCTGTTGTTCATTGATATGCTCGAGTGGGCACCAGTAATGTCTCCATTGTGAGACTTGTTACTGTTTTTGGCATATCGAATACACCCCGGGGAGCTTGCCAGGTTCTGTCATGCAGGTGGGATACTCTTGGTAGCTTGCTGCGCTCTCCGAGAGGGACGAAGGAATTGAACCTGGGTCAGCCACGTGCAAGGCAAACACCAGACAATTTAAATTCCGTACACATTGCAATTTCCACAATAATACACATTATGAAGCATTATTGCTGGTTCAATGATATACTGAGTATGCAAAACTCATGAATATACAAGGAAGAGTGACAGTACAGAGGATAGGGTGTTTGCCTTACACTTGGCTGACCTCAGTACAATCTCTGGCATCTCATATGGTCCCCAGAGTACCACCAGTAGTAATTTCTGAGCACAGAGCCAGGAGTAACCCCTGAGCATCACTAGGTGAGGCCCTTCCCTTCAAATTACAATATGGTTGCAAGATTTTCAATATAGTTACAGGTTTTCATTGCATAAATCTGTAAGAACATTTCAAAAAGTCCTCTTTCCTGTAGGATTGTCTTTAAAATTATTTTGTAATTAAGATATTGTTTTCTTTAATGTGTAGTTTCACTAAAAATATGTATTACAAGAAAAGGCTTTCTGTTTTTGTAACCATGTTTCACTTAAAATCTTCCTGAAATGAAAGCTCATTTGTTTTTGTTGTAGGTCTGGGCAAAGGGTGATAAAAAGCCTCACATTCTAGGCAATCACACTGAGAACTAAGGACAGGTGTCATTTTTTATTGTGATTGGCCAGAACTGAAATCAGGACTTTCACCCTCTCTCAGAAGCTATTGTGGAATTTAAGTAATCACCCTGGCTGACTGCCCATCACACAGCTGAACAGCACACCAAAAAATAATATCTGGGGAGAAGGCCACAACATATTTTTCAAATACTCATTGCTTTTATTCTTTAACTTTGAAAGATTTTTTTTAAAGAAAAGAAAAAACTCACCCAGCTGTTACCACTATTCATATTCCAATAGCCTCCAAAGTGCTCGAGGCCACCTGGTTGACTTTTGCCTTGGAGTCGGTCCAGAAAAGCATTATTTACCCTTTAAAACAATGAAAAATGTGTGTAAGTGGAAAGCTGGCTGCAGGGCTGAGAGATTTCAGAGAACCTAATGTGCTGTATGAACCTACTGTGGGTATTGTTTCTCCCCTTCAGCTTAGAAGAAATCTACAGAAACTGCTTTTTCCATTAACCATATGACATGCTATTAACAGCCCTTTGCTGAAGCTGGTGTCAATCTTGGCTTAGGCTAAAAGAGGCACAATTCTTAAATTCAGAGTTTCACTCACCTACCTTCTTTCAGTTCAGCAAGAGATTTTTGTCACCTAAGCAACCATACCCCTAAAGGATGCCAACGACCCCAGAAGCTAAGGAAAATCAGTCACTTGAGCAAGAACTGAAACATAAAATTGAACGTAGCTTTTTTGCAACACAGATATACCTCCCATAGGTCCTGAAACCCTTTACCCACCTTCCTGTAGTAAATCCCATAAATGAAAGTAGACAAAATGAGAAGAGATTATGGGAAAACAAAAATATCAGAAGAGAGATACCCACACTTTCAAAAGAAAAAATGGGTACATTTCCCCCAGTTATTGTCATACTTTTAGAAACCTATTTAAGCTTAACACATAGGATGTAAACTATAAGGGAAGAACTTAACAAATGAAAACCTTTATGAGAAATTTTAAAAATGAAGTTTTAAAAAATGGGAAGAAAGTACTCCTAAAAACAACCTGTAGTATGATAATAACTATTATCTATATTTGAGGCTGGCTACTTTACTTTATAATTAGTATTCTATCTTGGGGTTTTTGTTTGTTTGTTTTGCTGTGAGGGAAATTCAACCCAGGGTCTCACACAAGTAAATGCTCTCTTGTAAGGAGAGTTCACTTAATCAAGCTCACGGAGACAATCTATGGTGGGAGACCAAGAAGATCTTTATTACACTGGTGATCAGACAGATGGGTCTAGGCTAGGCAAGCACCTGAAACCTGAGACAAAGCTCAGTGGTCCAAAAGCCTGTTTTTATAGGGTATTACTGCAAATTTATCATTAGTTTACTTGATGCTGAAGCAATGTGGGGGCACATGCACATGATGGCATATGGTTATAGGGAGTTTCTTATCTGTGTGGTTACAGGGAGTTCTCTAAAAACAGCATTTCCTTGGCTTGGAATAGGGAGTTCATTCCAACTACACAAACCTTTCACCCACAAGCAAAATCATGTTTTTAGCGTAAGTGCTATAAATCAATTACAAAAACAGAGCCACATAACAAATTTCCATCAAAGCACTATCACTGAATTATAACCCCTGTTCCAACAATTAATCACTCTAAAATTTTTTACACAGACATTACTGTGCATGTGATAATATACTATTGCTTATTATAATTTTTCAATTTAGAAAAGTAAAAAAAATGGCAGCATTTTATTTCCTTTGTGTGACTAAGCAGAATCAGATTATGGAAAAACAGCATTGTAATAGGTTGTAATAAAACTGAAAATAGGGATAAATGTCAGTAGATTATTAAGAAACAGTTTCTTAAGACTACAGGTGTCTTAGTAGACACTCAGCACTTGGCACATAGAAGTCACTCAACTTAGGCCTATGGAAAAAGATATGCAGTCAATTACCTCACTTTATAGTCACGAAGACTAGATAAGTGTGAAGGGACATGGGAAAACAAAGTGGTAGAGCACATGCCTAGCATGTGTAAGGCCTGGGCTTGATCGCCGGCACCACTTGCTCTTCCTCTCAGCACTGAGCAATATTGGAAGCTGACTTGCAGACTTGGGTCCCCTGGGCACTGCTGGGTATAATCTATTTACTTAGTTTTTTATCTACTTGGTGTTTTTTTTTTCCACTTCGGGTCACACCTGGCGATGCACAGGGGTTACTCCTGGCTCATGCACTCAGGAATTACCGCTGGCGGTGCTGAGTTGCTGAGAATTAAACCCTGGTCAGCTGCATGCAAGGCAAACACCCTACCCACTATGCTATCGCTCTAGCCCCTTACTTGTTTATTTTCAAATAAAATGTGGTCAAAGTGATTCTAGGAGATTGGGAGATTGAGGAACTTTGAGGAGAGGGACTGTTGGGAGGCAAAGTCTGAGGCAAAGGTCTATTTACTTGGCAGCTAAATTGTCAAGAGCATGTTGATCAAGTTTGAGCTCGTTTTACAGGGTTGCTGTTTTCTCAGCAACTGTTTTCTCAAATCCAATTAGGCAGTTGCTACATCTTAGTTAATAAAACGCTTCTTTCTCTTGGGACCAGAAAGATTCTAGTATAGAAGATGCAGCACTTGTTTTGCACACAGCTGATCTGACTTCAATGCCTGGCAACCTGTATGGGCCTGAGCCCATACACTGAGTCCAACATGAGTGGGCCCTAGGCACAGCCAGGTGTGACCCCAAACCAAACAAAGTTTCTTTCCCTTCTACCATAAAATCTACAGAAGTACCATGTTCTGGTGTGCCTGGTTCTCTGCAGATATCCATGCTTATGCTACTGTTTCTAGATCTCTTGGCATGCAGAGATCTAGGCATGAACATCATCTTACTAAACTGAAGATAGGAATATTAGGGAAGAAAAAGTTGACCCTAATTCTAAGTATACTCATAATCACCTTTTACCTGAAGAAGGGTTTTTTTCTTTTTTTTAATCCCATCAGAATAACAGAGAACGCTTTGCCCTCGACATCCTCCATTTCACCCTACATCCAAACTACTTGGAAACAGTATTGGCTCTACCCACTAAATATGTGCTGAATTCATTTTTTTTATGATCACCATGCTGGGTCAACTCACTATCCTCTCCTATGTCTTTCTGCTTCCACTACTCCACTGCAAATCCACTCTCCACAAAATTACATCAATAAATTATTAAAAGAACCATGCCTTCTCTGTTTCTAACACCTTCCCAAGAGTACCTGCTAGTTTTGGAATAAAATTGCTGACTTACAAACTTCGGGTTTCTCTTGCTTCTATCTACACCTTACCTCATTTAACATTATTCTCTTCTTCTTATTTTCTAAATCCAATTACTTGAGACCACAAAAGCCCAAACTCATTCCCATGTTGCCACTTTTGTATTGGCCTCAAGGTCTGAAAGCAAGAGATGTCCAAGTACATGTTTCAGCCTCCAACCTCCAAGCAAGTGGCTCTTTATACATATCATCTCCAATCTCTCCTTTAATATCAGCCTGTAATATGATTCTCTTAGCACCTATCCTTGTCTGAAATAATCTCACTGTTAGTTTATTTCTACTTCTTTTCTCCAGATGCTCATTTCCACATAACCATCTGCCTTGCTTCTCCCTATTCCCAAATGCACAGAACAAAGATGTACACAGATGCTTGACATAGAACATGAACAAATCTTTTGTATCTGTGTGTGTCCACGCACATACATGATCTTATTGTCAGAATAATGCTCAAGCATGACCCCCACTTCTCCCTGATTGAGTGATGGCACTGCACCATGGAAACACCAACATCGGCTAAGTGCACAGTGCAACACATCTGTCATCTGCCTCAAAAACTGAGATTTCCACAAATGCAAGAGAGATGACTTATTCTTGAATAAACTAAGAGGACATAGCAGTGTGCCTGAGCTTTCTTCATCTGCTGCAACATGGGTCAACGTGTGATCATGTTCAATATATTGTTTTTCTCAATTCCTGTTAAAAAATCAAACGGGAAAAATAAAATGTCAGTTTATACTGTTGTTTCCAGTTGTAGAAACTCCACATAAGTTATTGCTGTCAAGCTGTGATCTGGATTTCTCCACTGGGTTAATTTGAATCGAAAAAAGTAACTATTATTGAAAGGCCAGGAGTACATGCCTTCTATGTACAAGATCCCAAATTTAATCCCTGGCAATACAGGGCCACACTGGGTGTGGCCCTGATAACCAGCCCCCTCCCACCCACCCTTATCCCAGCATGAATGACCTTGAACAACATCACACACAGCCTCTACAAGTGAACCATCCATCACTGAGAATGACCCAAGAATACTGGTTGGGAGCCCCGACTTGAAAAACACAACCATCATTCAAGAATGACTCAATTTCAATAAATCAACTCTGTTTATCCCAGTTTTCAGATCTGGACCAAATTCTTCACCACTCCCTTTTGCTTCTGTCCTTCCTCTCCGGTGTTTCTACTGTTTTTCTCTAACTCAAAAAGTCAGGGATACTCAAGCTATGACAATGTAGAATTCACAAGATGCTCGTAAAAAGTCCCCACAAGTTTTCTATTCTAAAATGCAGAGTTGAATTTTCTTCATGAACTTATGACCAGTAGAAAGCACATTGTGTTTTGTATGCTAATAAAATTTTGTCCTGGAGAAATGAAATGTATGTTTCTTACACACATTCTGCATGGCTTGTGTTGTGAGGCTCAACAAGAATGAATATGGTTATTTTATTTGTTAAGAGGCTACCAAGAGAGTGTTTTTGTACAACAATGTAAAGCTCAGTGCAACTTTAAAGAACAAGGCAAGCACAAGCTCTCTTCAAAAGCTTATTTAAAAAAAAAGCTTATTGAAAACATAAAATATGTTTAAGGACTTAATTAGTTATTTTGAAATAGATTACTGAGTTTACTATAGCACTGTAGCACTGTCCTCCCGTTGTTCATCGATTTGCTTGAGCAGGCACCAATAATGTTTCACAACAAATTGTGAGACTTGTTGCTACTGTTTTTGGCATATCGAATACGTCATGGGAAGCTTGCCAGGCTTTGCTGTGCAGGCAAGATACTCTTGGTAGCTTGCTGGGCTTTCTGAGAGGGGCATAGGAATCGAACCCAGGTCAGCTGCATGCATATCCAGAAATACTTTTGTGTGGATTTAAAACATATCCATATTTAATTACAATCAGTATGATAATAAAAAATGTAGGAAATAACTGTACCAATATTTATATGGTCATCAGTATGGAACAACTATTAAATGAGGGGGGTCTGAATTCCTCTAACAAAAAAGTAACTCTTTCCACTTTTAATCAATAAATTGTGTGTTTTAATAGGGGCCCATTAATTTCTAAGTAATGTGCCAATTGATGCGACATATTATTATCGTTAAGATACTTAAAAACTTATAACCCAATTAATTTGCAAATATTCATAGAACTGGATCCTACTAAAAAGTATATACATACACAATTATGTGAAATTATATAAATACAATATCAGAGCATGCTGCTGGAGTGACAGCATGATCTAATTTATAGCCTACTTTTGAAAAGTCAAAGTAATGATTTCATATAACCAGAAAATTAACCTAACCTGTGTATCAGAATTTTTGTTTCTTTGAAATCAGAGAAGACATAAATTCACATTTAATATTTTTAATATTTTGACAATGTCAAAATGCTAAAACTTCACAAGTAATTTGGTTAACTTTGCTTATTTTGTTGGCCACTTATACCTCCTTTGTTCAGATTGGTGGATTCTGATTCTTTGTTCCTCCTGTTGCTGTTGCTTAAATTTCAGCAATTCACTCTAGAAACAATAAAAATTAAGATACGGTCTTTAATTAATGTGATTGTGCAGAAGACACTCAAATCAATTACATTTTAACCACAAATTATGTAATATTTCTGTTTAAAAGTTTAACTTAAATGTCAGTTCAATGTGAAATCAGTTTCCTAACTATGTAACAAAATTCATTGTACCTCAGTCAAAAGAGAGATCTAATTATAAAATTGTGAGATAAAATAATTCAATGCTTATGATTAATGTATTAGAACAATAGATTAAATATGCATAGAGGTTGGGGCTGGAGAGATGGCACAGCGGGTAGGGCGTTTGCCTGCACGCAGCTGACCCGGGTTCGATTCCCAGCATCCCATATGGTCCCCTGAGCACCGCCAGGAGTAACTCCTGAGTGCAGAGCCAGGAGTAACCTCTGTGCATCGCCGGGTGTGACCCAAAAAAGCAAAAAAAAAAAAAAATGCATAGAGTTGGGGAAGTAGTACAGTAGATAAGGCACTTGTCTTGCACACAGCTAACCCAGGAGCTGTGTGCAAGACAAGTGCCTTATCTACTGTACTACTTCCTATCCCCTCTATTCCAAGCATCATCATGACTAATTCCTGAGCACAGAGTCAGGAGTAATCCTTGAGCACACCCAGGTGTGGTCCCAAAACAAACAAAACAACAAAAAAGCCCCAACATAATCAGCAAATAAGCTCCTTAAATAATGTCACATAATGTCATTTTTTTCTTTCTTGGGTATTTATTTCCATATATAATATATATACATATACATATATATATGACTCAATTATGTAGTGCAAATTTATTAGTAAAACATTCTCCATACTAGAGAATAAACTCTTACCTACTACTGATTTGTTACTTCTAATACTATCAGAACTTTGGAGGGATACTTTACTTTGAATAGGATATTATATTATTCCAAATAATACCTAGCTTTATGCTCTAGAGAATATTTTGATGATCTTCCTGAAGAAACATGTTACTTTCCACCTCAGTTACTATGATCACAATATTGTACCAAACATTGTTCCTAGATACAGGAATCGAATCCTGGTCAGTTGCATGCAAGGCGGTGCCTAACCTGCTGTTGTATCTCTCCTCGTAATCTAACCCAATTCAATAAAATCAAATACAGTATCTCCTGCTAGAAAAACAAAAGTAGTTCAACTCTCTAACTCAGTGGTGTTCAACATTTTTACCCTGTGCATCAGACTTTGGCCAGAGGTTAAATTATGGAATAAATGAATAAAATTTAAATTTTATAATGAATAAAAAATGTATAAATAAAATGAATTAAAAATAAAATTTAAAGGAGCAAAATGTATGAACAGATTTTTTCCACAGGGCACCTTTGAGACCTCAGGAGAATTTGATATCACAAAGAGAGAAAAACCCTCCAGAATCTCACCCCTGTAAAACAGGGATGACTCTATCTTCTTATCACTTAAAAGTTCAAAACTGCTGTAGTAGAGAAGCTTAAAGAGGTAAAAAAGAACTTATAAAGGCAGGTCAAAGTGATGGAAAAATTCATCAGAGACAAAATGATATTTGGAAGAAATACTATACACAAAATTTTAAAAATTTTAAGACTTAATAAATAAAATGTACATACATAAATTAATTCAGCTATTCACTCATTTGGAAAGATGTGAGATGAATCTATATGATAGGGAAACAATAACAAACCGAATAGATGAAAGCTTTGCTCCTATAAAATCCTACATTCTACAGAAAAGAAAACTCAAAGATTGAGGTCAATATCCAATTAGTATCCTATATAAAGGTTCAAATTTGGCTTAAGTTCGCATATTGAAGGTCTGTGTAGATGGCGAAAGAACTGATATAAGTCAAGAAACACCTAACCACCAAACAGGAATAAAGTTTAAAGGATAAGACAAAATCTACAGATAACCTACAGTTTGAATGCAAATTCAAAATGGCTATCACCTTTAATTATTTAAGTATGTATATATAATTAAATATAAATCATAATAACATTTTCTCCATCGTATTGACAAAAACTAGAAAAGACTAATGAAGAATCACATATATCCGGGCAAGTTGGTGTAATGTCTAAATTAGAAAAAAAATAATTTCATTTTGGAGAACAATTTAGTAATAGACATCAAAATGAAAAATAAGCATATCTTGTGCAGAAGTTCTCAAAGATATTTGTATAAGGAATAGCCACAGTTGTAATTGAAACAGCAAGAAAGAAGCTCAAGACAGTCTTAAGTAACCATCCAGCAAGTAGAGTGCTATGCAACAGCCACATTAAAAGGTAGAAGGTGGGCAGTGGAGGTGAGGAGGGTCTATTGTGAGAACTGTAAAATGCATTATATGAATATAATAAATGATAAGTGCAGAGTACTTTCCTATGTAAATGTAAGTGAAAACCACATAGATGATACATTACAATGTATGTTGCTACACAGTATCTTAAAAATATTTCTACAGAAAATTTCACATTGTTAAATTAACAGATTATCACTGGGAAAGAAACATGGGGAGTAGAAGGGCAAGGAAAGAAAATTTCTGTAGCATATACAATTGTTTTTAACTTTTGAAGTATCTGTATATATACTTATATATAGATCTTATACCTTATATATGGGCTGGAGTGATAGCACAGTGGTAGGGTGTTTGCCTTGCACGCAGCCAATATGGCCAACCCGAGTTCGATTCCTCCGCCCCTCTTGGAGAGCCCAGCAAGCTCCCAAGAGTATCTCGCCCACATGGCAAAGCCTGGCAAGCTCCCCGTGATGTATTCGATATGCCAAATACAGTAACAAGTGTCACAATGGAGATGTTACTGGGCCCGCTGGAGCAAATTGATGAACAACGGGAGGACCGTGACCTTATATATATATATATATATATATATATATATATATATATATAGTTTCCTTATACTATATGGAGTCTCCTACCCCATGCCTGACCGTTCTCACCAGGACCTGACAGCTGAAGACCTCCGGAACCGCCAAAGCCATGCTGAGACCACTCTCCACACACTTGGATGAGCCTCACGCATAAAGGAACCAGCAGAGGAACCCCAGGTACCGGCAGAGGAGCAAAGGCATGTGGGTCCCGGGATTGAGATCTCCAAGCACGCTCGAATTGGAGCTGAGCATCCTCCACCCAGATCCTCCATCTTCCAGTAGGCAGGGGTCACACCCACCAACTGCCCCCCCCCACCCCGCGCTTTGTAATCCCATCAACAGCTAAAACCCAGAGACTATAAAACCCAGCTCCCGGGACATCTTATTATCTCATTCTTACTTTGGACAAGCTGGCAGGCAACCGAACGTAACCTGCCCACACGGCAGAGTCTGGCAAACTCCCCTTGGGGTACCCAATATGCCAAATACCAGTAACAATGATGGGTCTTATTCTCCTAACCCTGAAAGAGCCTTAAATATGGCACTTTTTAAAATCTCAGGGCTAGGACGAAGGAGACGTTACTGGGGCCTGCTCAAGGTAATCGACAAACAACAGGATGATCATGATCGCGATCCTTATACTATTTACAGAACTTTATCTGGGTGAGAGACCATTTGTGCTTCCTGACACATTTGTTTGGTTTAAAGATCCTGATGAGTCTGATCTAGCTTTTAATACTTACATATGTAAAAGAGAAAACTACTATATCATGAAGGCAAGAACCATTATGGAGGGGAAATAAACAGGAAGAGAGTGACAAGCACTGTCCAGGTAAGGGCAGGGGAAAGGTGAGAACACAGAACAAGAGGGAAATAGTGATGGGGAGTTGATGAAGCATCACCATGGGAGGACATAGCTCCAGATGGCAGAAGAGGAGGTCTGGCATTGCCGCAGTCGGAATATTCTATGCCTAGCAAAACATGTTTACACGAAGGAGAGGCTGGTTTTCCTTTGTTTGTGCCATGAAGGACAATTTCAACTAATTTGTTCTGCTAAGCTGTCAGCCACAGCGGATGTGTCTGCTGCCTTATAAGCATATTCTTGGTTCATTTGCTGGGTACTCACACAGAAGTAAAACACCTAGTTGAACAGATACAAAATAAGCTGTTCTTGTTTCAAGGATTGAGCTTTGGACATTAATCAAATCAAAACACTAAGCAGGCAGGACACTATATATAGCATCTGATATTGTCAAGTCTTATTCCACTCAACATGTATGTTTCAAGCATCGACCATTTTCCAGACACCTGAATTCCTGCTGAAGGTAAAGCTATATGAAGGACACAGTTCTACACTGAAGAAAAATAGTCCAATGAGAGAGATGGAGAAGCAACAGAGAAATGAAGCAGAAAGAAATGCATTGCTTAATACAACTTCAGGCAACAGAAATATGAAGGAAGGAATGCCAATAAGACAAAGAACAAATGTTCCTGGGTGAGGTTTTAACACTTTTTAAATGGTACTATGAAGACACACAAAGGAAAGAGTGCATCTTCTCATTATTCAGTGCAACTTCCTACATCTGGACAAAGCTCCATAGAAAGAAGGTACTTAAAATGAACAAATACCTTGGAGATGCCAAAAACTTCATGTAAACACTGACTAGTCATGTTTGTGAGCGAGGACAAGGAACAGTGCCTCTGGTCAGGCCCAGGCTCACCAGGGCAGGGCTGTACTACACCAGCAGGAGTTTTGTGTGAGTAGGAGGAAGAGGTGCTGGGAGTCCAAACTAACAGAAAGAAGTTAAAAGTTTGCATTTTTGTTGTTGTTGTTGTTGTTTGCAAGCTGTTGTAGAAATTATTTCTCTGTGTTCCAGTTTAGGAAAGAGGTCAACCAAGAATCGTGATGTGTACAAGGACAGACACATGAGAAAACTGATGTGGCTTGACTGAAAGTCATGCTTCACCACCAGGCTGTAGAGTAGCAGTAACTGAAAACAACAGGGTCACTTGAAAACCCTGTTTAAATCCCAGCAGAGTGTTCCAACATAGTTCAGCTTGGTGGCTTTCTGTAAATATTAAAGTGCCGTGAATCAAGCAGGAAAAATGTTTTCTTAA